GTCCCAGCAATCACATTTCAGCAGCAAACTGTTAAAAAGAAGTAAGAAGATAAAATGTAGCTTGATCTCAAGTCAAATTTGACTTTTTAATCTCTCCAGAGCAGTTTGCTGTTGCCTGTTTTCTTGCCACAAGCAATGCAATTTTTGGAAACACAGCATAGGCACTTGGGGCCATGAGTTGCTCACCTCTACCTTGAAATAAATATTAGTAGAATTTCAATTTATGTTTTTAAAATCTGCCTATTGTGTACAAAGACACATTCTGCATGTCGCTTGCCGGTTGGCCCTGAAGAGCCATTTCCTTTTAGGCCTTTTCCTCCCTCTCGCACCACGCCTAGTTCATCTTGTGAGCTTTCTGTACTCGGGAAGAGAATTGCCATCAGTTGTGTGATCCTTTCTTCACAAGCTGGAATGTATTTCAGACACTGCCAGTCCATTGCACTCTGTGAGGCTTCTTTGGGCAGGTCTTGGCAGACTGGCACCCTTGCTCTGTGCATCGACAACAGCGAAGTCAGCCACCTACAGTGTGCTAATGTATTATCCCATGCAACATGAACGTCTTGTGATGTTGCACTATCACCAAGTATGACTTGTAAGAAGCAGTCCATGTAAAGGCACAGAAAGTCTTTTTCTCCCTACTCAGCGTTCTTTTCTCTGTGATCCAAACGGGGCTTCCTTCCAAGTGCATTTAAGAGCGCAGCCCCAGAACCTCCTTCTGCAGTGTACTCTACAGCAGGGTCACAGCTAAAGCCCATCTTCAGAGACAAGCTGCACTGTATAAGAACCAGAGAGCTGTTGTCAAGAATGGCAGCCCTTTGCCTAGTTTCTTCCATGCCCATCATTACACACAGCTCTGTTTCCTCCAAGTTCTTACGTTATTTGGCATGCACTTCTCCACTAGTGGTATCTAGGAGATCACGTGTGTCTGCATCATTTTTGCCAGTTTGTTTTAAAAGGATTTCTGAACCTGTTCGGTGGGAATGGATTGTAGCCTCCCCCGCTGGTGGGGGGTTCTTTTCCATTTGTGGTAGCTGAGATGACTGAACAGACAGCCAAATGGCCAAAAAATGTCACATGGGAAAGGGTGGAGGGACATTTCTGTTATGCCTGTGAAAGAAACGCTTTCCTCCAAAGATCTGAAAATATTTTTCCAGTGAAAGTGCAGTGGAAGGTGGTAAAACTTATTAATCCTTTCCAGGGAATAATACTATCTGTGAGAGTAACCGGTGACTTATCAGAGAACTTTCATCACAAAGACATGTGTTCTGCCAGACTGTCTTTTCTTGGGGCTTGGGGTGGCCGCTTTCACCATCAGCACAGGGAGACATGCTGTTTCTCAAGGTTGAGAAAAGTAGCAGCATCAGAGAATGACTTCATGATGATTTCAAGGATTTACCTGCATTGCAAGTAGGTGACGTCACCGAGGCAGGGTGGGCTATGTGTGAAGGAAGACTAAGCGAGGTAATGACTTTTGTGGGGTTAAGCAAATGGAACTTTTGAAACGTAATTATTTATTTATTTTGGGAGCACATCCAAATCTCCTTAACCGTCCACAGTTCACTTCAGGTGACGAGGTGCAGGTCAGGACCTGCTTTCCTTGCTTTTGCTCGGGTTTAGTTTTCTAAACTCACTTGCCCATCCCTGCAGAGCTATTTTTCTAATCTGAACCAGAGCTCACTGCAGTAGGTCTCACCGGCGTCCAGGGGAAAACTTCCGAGGCAAAATTCTCAGCAGCTCCCTGCCCAGATTCTTCCGTGTGATGGCCAGGAAACAAATGCATTCTCATTGGATAACCCAGTTGCCATTTGGACTTGTTATCTCTTCCTGCCTGTGCTCGGAGCCTTTAGAGCTCATTACCTTAGGGAGCAATGTAACATAATTTGGCAGCTAGTCAAGAATAAATTACTTCTGGATTCACGCAGTTGCAGGGGCGCAGTGGGCTCAGACACTCAGCAAATCGTGAGTGCCGGATTTGCAGAACAAGGAGGCAGTTAGCTGTCAGCAGGGACATTCCGCTGAAAATGTAGCCATTCACAAAGACCCTGACAATTACAGTGGAGAAAGGGAATAATGGGAGATTCAGCTTAAGATTCCGGTCACCTTACACGCTACATTTGCTTCAGTTGGTCTTCCCAAATTGGTTGCAACTCCTCCTTCGTCTTCAGCTTAATGAACCCCCTGTTCAGGGACCAGGTGAAGGATGTGTTATGAATGCAAAGTAAGTGGTGCTGGGATTTCATTTCTAACATTTGTAACCCTATCATTTACCTAGTTGTTCTTAAGATATTTCATTTGGAGCTCTCTCGATGGAATAAATGGCTTGCTAGTAAAAGAGAAATAAAATCATAATGGGGGAGTGGTATAATCACACATCTTTTTGTGATCCTTGCAAGAGAGCTACAGGGGCACATGCGAAACTCATGTTCAGCATCATTGTGAGCACATTTTGAGGCTTAGGTAATGATGTGCCATCCTGTAATGTGAACTCTCTCCTCTTCCCCTTGCTGCATTGACATCAGTGGAGTGGGAAGCCTCATGTCTGCTTCACAATGTAAAGTTGGAGAAAGCACGGCCTGTGAATATTACAGTTTCATCTCATTCTTCTTGTTATCCAGTTGATACCATCTATGTCCCTGCCCATTTTCTAATTTTTGAAATCATGTATTCATTTAGATGCTACTACATGACTTGGAAAAAAATAAAAAAGCAACAATAAAGGATATATAAATAATATAAAAATCAATTAAATGTCTCCCCCCAACCCTCTCCCCCCACATAAATAACACTTACAAATTAGGAGTAGCAACAGGTTGCAATAGACCTTCAATTGAGACTGGAATACAATTTAGATTTACAAATGCTTGTTGAAACAGTATTCCTTTGTAAAACCTACCTCAGCTCTTTGGGGCAGGTGTATTCCAGGGGTGCCACCACTGGGAATGCCCTGCTTCTTGTGTCTGCCAGGCTTACATCAGCCAATGGAGGTACTTACAGTAGGGCTCCATCTGATTATTTTAAGTGCATGTGATGGGGTTCATAGAACATTTTCAGAGATATTTGGGAATAAAGATGTTCCTCGTCATCCCCATGGTTCAGTGGTGAGCACCTACTTTGTTTGCAGAAGGATCAGATTACAGGTAACAGGAAAGACCCTTCCGCCTGGGTCTCTGAAGAACTGCTGCCTGCCAGAGTAGTCAGTACTGGGTTGATGGACAAATAGTCTCACCTGATATAAGGAACTGATATAAGTTCCTTATATAAGGAACCTAAGGAACGTCTTAGGTTCTTAAGCACTTATGTTTCTCCTAGTAATGAAATTGCTCCCTATGTCAAGGATGTGTTTGTTCAGTGGTATCCCCTTCCGGGAGTATAATACGTGTGGCACTCCTTTAAACAGTAGGCAAAATGAGGGATAGAGTGTGGAAGTTATCACATTCCCTTTTATTGTATTATCTCTTTTCCTTTGCTACCAGAACTTCTGTGATCATGGTGTCAGATGGAATGTTAGGTTTATGAATGACTTGGCAATTAATGGTAGTGCAAATTGCCAACCCACTGCAGACTGGGCACCATTTGAAGAGCCCGTCTCTTCCTCCAATGTTACCAACAGAAATGATGGAGGCAATTGTGTTTCTGAGGAGGATTGGATGCTTCCAAGATGGTGCCATGTTCCAATGGCACACATCTGTCCTAGCAGCTAGTTGTTACATTTCAGAAGGTGCAATCTCATGCTAAACTTTCTGCAGTGCACAGCTTGATTTCTTGAGTGATGGCATCTGCCTTTGGATGGCAATTAAACGTTGCTGAGTGTGGGCGAGGTTGGAGCAGAAGCCTTAGAGCAGGGGTGTTGAACCTCTTTCAGCCTGAGGGCTGAATTGAATTTTGCATGAGCTTTCCAAAACCACCAGCGTATTTTAGCTTAAGGCTTTTCTACCAGTAACTAATCCTTAGGAGTGTTATTTTAACCATTTAGAATGGGAAAAACTGCACAAAAGCCAAGGCTTCACCAAGTGAATGGTGGTTGGGGAAAGGGATAGAAAGGGATGGAATGGGATGCGAGGAGTGGTGTGTGGCCATCTGGGGAACCACAGAGGGACAAAATGAAAGCCCACGTAGGCCAGATTTGACCCAGATTCAACACTTCTGATGCTGAATATTTCCCACTTTCCGTTCTCTGGACCACATCCTCTGAGATCCATACTCTGGATCACGTCCTCTGAAGATGGGCTCTTCAAACCCAGTATTACTGATCATCTGCTGTTTTCGCCTTACAAGCGTCACATCAGAACATCACAGAAATGAGTGTTCAGAGAGCTGCACTCCAAACAGAACTAGTCTGTTTAGTTAGGGCCCCTGGCTGCCGTAGTAGGATAAGCCGAACCGGAGATGTGTGCACATCACAAACATTCATGTTATAAATGGGATCTCCTGGGACCTGGCCTTGTTGCACTGAGCAGTGTGTTACACTTTTCATGTTTGTTTTTAATTACATACTCTGAGACTTAAAGAGAAACCCAGCCTTCCGACAGATTTTATCTGCTGATTATTTTCACAAATTGTTACAGAAGAGGCCTTCGGGGCTCGAGTGTAGGTGGAGACTCAGTTACCCAGTCACAGACTGGATGCCAAGGAGTAGTGCCTTAACCCATGCTTACAAAGGCAGGTGCTGACAGATCCACCTAGCCAAGGGAAACATGCTCACATTCTGGAGACTAACAGAGAAAACGGTAAAGAACAGCCTTGGCGGGTTAGCATTAGACTGAGAACAGCCTGATCTTTTTTCTGTCTTTAACCCTTTCCCAAAGCATTTTCAGTTTTTGTTCAATTCAGAGCGTTTACCGCCATCCCGAGCAAAGTTCACTGCTTTTAATGGTACATCATAGGACTGTTGGGTGTTCGTGCTCAGAGGGCTTGATTTTTGTGTTTCTGTCAGTCCAAGTAAACATGTCAAAAGCAAAAACCAAGACATTGTACTGCAGTGCCCCTTTTCTAACATTTAGGTTCATCAGTACTACAGCTGCCTACCAGAAGACAAAGTGCCCTACGTGAATAGCCCGGGGGAGAAGGCCCGTATCAAACAGCTTCTACACCAGCTGCCACCACACGACAATGAGGTGAGTCATTTAGAAATAATTGGGGAAACATTGGCTTAGTGAACATAACAGGGGCCAGGACCATCTTTCCGATACTGCTGTTGTGTGTTCCAATTAGCTGGTTAACTGAGTATTGACAAAGGGTTTGTTAAAGGACTGCTTTGCAAAACCCCTGTAGAGTTTGGGGGAACTCACTTTTCTCCTGTCCTGGCGGGGGAATGAGAAGTAAAGGATCTAATTTTCTTTGGGGTGGTAATAATCCTTGCATTGAAATATGGAGTTATACGTTTATGGAACGGCTATTTCATTACTACTTGCTTCAACTGCACGTACGCTGCACTTCAATTTACAATTCGTGCTTAGCAAAAAATGGTATATTTTTCTATAAAATTCACTTTTACCATAAAAGCAACACCCACGGACGGTTTCATAAGGAATGTAATCAAAACTTGGGAGTTCAGAGAGAGAAACCCATCCATCTCTCAAGATGATGTAAATGTCATAGTCAAACTGCAGTCTATACGTACAGTATTTTTTCAGTATATGGAACTGTTGCCAACTTGCATGAAAATTATACTGAATAAAAGGCATTGTTTTCTAATGTGGTTGCTTTAATTGTATATTTCCTGCTTTTGTACTAAATTGGACAGTTGAAAAAACATACCGATTCATGGCGTCTATAATGTTATATGTGATATATAATGATAAACATACATGCTTGATTTCAGCCTCAAGATGCTTTAAAACAAGTTGCTTGTGTCATTTCTGCTTCATGCCAGGACTGTAAAGAACCGTGCTTAGTTAAAAATATAAGGGTCAAAATATATCGCAATTCAGTTCCAATATGGTATTTCCTCACAATACAAATACTAGTATTGGAAAAAGGATTTTTCTGGGAATGCAGCAGATAATGAAGGGTTTAGTTCCCTTCCGTGTCTGCTCCATCTCATTAATAATCAGCTCCAACAGGTGATACAATTTCCATTTTTAAAAATATGTACATTGGCTAATTTCATGTGTTGTTTAGCTCTAAGTCCCTGTATTTCATCTTTTGGAGGACATGACATGGCGTATCGGTTCAGATGAAGTGAATTGAATCAGTGAGTTTAATCTGCAAGGAAAAAAAGCTAGTTGATATCATTGATTTAAATAAGTTTTCTCTTGTTTATGTATCTCTCGTGTTTACGTATTTAAACAAGGTCGCAGTTTCTCTGGATGCAGTACTACTGACCTGGATTGAACTGAATAGGACTTGCTTCTTAGTAGATGTGTACAGCATATTATTTTACAACAGTACAATCCTATCCATGTGAATTTAAAAGTAAATCTCATTTAATTCAACAGGACTTATTCCCCGACAATTGGAGATATATTTGCAACTTAGAATATCATTTGTATTGTTGTTTCATTTTGACAGCCAGGCTTTGAGCCTCTTTTGGGTCCCATTGTATACGTTTTGCAGGCTTCCCTCCAAATAGGGCCTTCCTTACCCCAAGTAGCAATGACAATTTATGAAAATAAAGGCTCAGTCCTATGCAAATTTAGACAGAAAAAAGCCTACAAGAGCCGTCGGGGGCATAATGTTAGCTGTATGCCTTTTTATGTTTAAACCTGCATAGGATTGTATGCAAAGTATGGAGAGATAGGAACATGCTGGCAGACCATTTTTTCTTCTTTCCAATGTTGCTCAGTTCTGCTTTGCTCTGCCTTAGTTAACAAAAAATGAAATACCCCTGACGGATAAGTAGAAGGAAGGTCTGATCATTCATGGCTGACTAGAGTGGTTTATTTTTATGAGATGAAAATGCAATGTCTGTGTTTGTTTGGTAGGTAGTATATAAATTACTTTACCTGAGAAATGATCAGGTCGGGTCTTCATTTACACAGGAAACCCTTTATTTCACTGTATCTTGTAGAGCCATTAATTCTACCATGCTGTTATTCATATTATTTAGTATTAACTTAGTTGCCTTTTAAGGGAAGCCTGGTATTTACATTTTTTAAAGAAATCAAGACACTCATTAGAATTAGAAAATTGTCTGTTTTTATCCACCTGGGGGTATGTGTGTATGAAACTGACATCCTGTGAGCAGGCAGGGAGGACTTCAGAGGCCTGCCAGGTACAATACGGCTCCCACCTATCTGCCAAATCAATGAGATGGATAGAATTGCTTAGCCATGAGGGATTGGAGGAGAGCACCGAGGGGTCTCTCGGGGGTTCCAACAAATGCACAGCACGATCCTGGCTGACAGAGAAATCCTTCGGGTTTCTCTCTCCCTTTCCCTCCTGACACAGAAGCTAAGAATTAATTGGCAGAGAGGATAGGAATGGATCCCAATTAACCAGGCTCTGGCTTTCGTTTTCATATATCCTCAGCGATTAGGGCCTGGTTCATACATCAGGACAACCCACCATAATAATGGTGGGTTTCTGTCATGTGTGAACTGGGCTAGTGTTAACCTAATGGGCCACAATTCAGGGGCTGAACCCAATGCAGCCACTCCACTTACGCAGTTGAGACAGTGCTAGCATAAGCGTTGGTGTGACGCATTGCCCCTGAAAACCTGTTGCACCAGCTTGTGATATCCGTGTAGCGCAAGAGGTTGCTTATGATAGCACTACGTTCTGTGCATAGCAGAGTGGCCGTGATAGACACGGCCTCCAGTGTTTTTCTTAAGGGGTCAGTCAAGTGGGACATGTATTCAAGCCAGCTCAGAAACTCCCATTCATCATTACAAATGATCACTGGCTTCTGAACCAGAGTTGGCCCATTTATGTTGACTTTACTTAGAAAACTGTGGGAGCCTCAGAGGTCCAAAACTGTATTTCCAATTCAGTCAGGAGGGGAGTATGGATAGGGGCTCCTCACCTTGAAATTAATCAGTCGGCTAATTAATTAGTTACATTCTGCTTTTCATTCAGAAAAGCTTCCAGGGTGGCTTACATATCCATAAAAACAAACACAATCCTGCCTTGAGCTGAGCCCCACAGTTTATAAAGACATAGCACAAAAGGATATGGGAGAGAAATGGTCTGAGCCAGGGAACTGGTCATGTTATAAGGTTCTTAAAAGGCTGCCTTGAGGGAAATCAACAGGATGCAAGCCTTTTAAATAAATCAAGAAACAGAATAAAGGACATATGCAATGCAGCTGAAATGGCTGTAATATGGCCACATGTTCATTATCTCATCATGACCAGCTAGAACAGAATTGCACAAAGAGGGGAAGACCCCGAAACGGCTGGTCCCTGAGTCAAGCAAGAGGAATGGATTTGCTTATTACTACATGCAAGCCAGGAATTCTGGCAGAAGCCAAGGATGCCATGTGGCTTGTTGTGGGAGCAGCATGCCAGAGCTCCCGGTCCACATGTGGCCATGCACAAACAATGGACAGAAGTGGTTTGTCTAACTGCTCCCGCAGATTTTCCCTGGAACCATTGCTGGTTGTGTTGTGCACTCGGGGCTACTTTTTTCATCACTGAATTTCAGTAATTCAGCTTTGTGTTTTGCTTGATCAGAAATATTCTGATACACTCCAAAAAAATCTGTTTTGCTGCCATATTTCAGCTGTAAGAAGGGATATGTAGAGTGTGTCCTGAGCAACTGAGAGTAGATGAGTGCCTATTTGTTTAATTAGGGGCAAGCAAACCTTGTGCCGTATGACTTGGGAAAATAAACAGGCCATAGATTAAGCAATTGTCACTGGCTATTAGGAAGTCAGGGAAATGAAAAAAAAGCAGTAGGAAGCAAAACAGAAACTAAAAATGTCTTGATGAAATGCTGAGCTCACAATAAACAACGGAAGGAGTTCCATGAATCCTAGTAGGGTTGTTTTTTGTTTAAAGGAACATTACAAATAATGTGGCCCCTTAGAGACAAGCAAACTTATCCTGGCAAAAGATTTCAGATGCAGCTAGTTCACAAAAGTCCTATAGACTAATATGGGCATTCTCTGAAAAGTATTACAAATAGTAAATTGCATTTACAAGTTTACAATTACAGTACTATGAGGATATTTTTCTTGGATTATGATAAAGCCAACTTGCAAATATATGTTTGTGTCTGTGTATTTAATAGTCTCCAAATTGATTTAGGCATTTTGTAGTTTCACTTCCTTCATTTTATAGGGGTAAACTGAACCCCTGATAGTTTAGGGTAAGTTAAGTTAATGGAAGGAAGACGAACACCACAGAACAAGCAGTTCCAGAATTGTCAAGTGGCATATTGAATATGAAGTGCTTCAGATTTGGCTACAGTAGAAAATTTTTAAAAGAACTCAGGCAACTGCTGGGTTCCCCAGTAACCCCACCAGGATAGCAAGCTATATTCTGCTTAGCTTCCCTCATTTAGTGGTAGAGCCCCCGCTTTGCCTGCAGAAGGTCATGGGTTCAATTCCTGGTGCTTCCAGGTAGGGCTGGAAAATCTGCCTGGAGCCGGGGAGAACTTCTGCCCATCATTATTTATTCATTATATTTATATCCCACTTTTTTTTTCTTTTAAAGACCTTAAAGCAGGTAACACAATTCTCCTCCTCCTCTCAATCTTATCCTCCTAACAATGACCCTGTGAGGTTGGTTGGGCTGAGAATCTGTGACAGGCCCAAAGTCACTCAGTGAGCTCCATGGCTGAGTGGGAGAGCCAGGAGCAGGAGGAGGACCCAGACCGCCTGAGTCCAGTCCCGCACTCTTAACCACCGCACCACACCGGCGCTCAGTATGGTAGTCCCATTGGCAGTATTGGACCCATGTTGTGATTCGCTGAAGACAGCTGCCAATGTTCACTGCAGTTACTGACAGCACCTTAAGTTGTTCTCAGCTCGCTAAGAAGTTACGTGGGTTTATGCAAGAGAGTGGACACTGAGGAAGAAAGGTGGGGATGTCCAGCCCCAGAATCCTTTGCCATGTTCTCACATATGTTTCCGCCACATAGGTGCAACATTTTTCTAAAAGCGTATGTGGGAAAATTATAAAGTGACACATTTTAAGTAGGCCATGGTGTAGCACTCTGAGTGTGTGACAAG